CCACTGGTGGTATATATATATATGGTGGGGGCACTCGGGGACCCCGGCGCAAGAGAAAAGCGTTCATGGGGCCACATTGGCAGGCGAAAAGTCAAGCCGCCCGTCCAAATTCGCCTCCTACCCCCCGCGCTCGGCCGGCACCCTGCGCCACCCTGCTGATCCCGGTGTCGTCCACCGCCCGCCGCAGCTAGGTAGACCATCTCCCGCCGGGAAAAAGAAGGGGTTTCGCCGAGGCAGCCTCTTCACCACCGTCCGGGCTACTTTTCCGGCGTTCCGGCCGCGCAGGGTCTATACACCGGCAGGCTTGCGCCTACCTCGCCCGCAAGGTGTTCGGTGAATTGCCCGGCCCGGCGATGGACTCCAAAGATGAGGCGGCGCTCGCGGCGTTGCTGTAGGAGGAAGCCGAAGCCGACGTCCAGGAGCAGGAGCATCCATGGTGCTCGCCGCCCTCGCCGGCCTGCTCATGAGCAGTGAAAAGCCGCGGCGAAGTGGCTCGGCGCTTGGGCGAGTGAAAGCAAAGAACCGGTATCGTCTGGAAGGTTACTGCATGATCTACTCGGACTAATTCACCGACGCTCCATTGCACGGTGAGAAAACATTTCGGCGCCGTTATCGGATGAGCCGAAAGCTTTTCCTCAGGATTGTGAATTCCATCCGGGACTTCGACAGTTACTTCAAGTGCAAGATGGATTGCACCGGCACACTTGGATTTACCTCGATCCAGAAGTGCACGACAGCTATGAGGATGCTTGCATGCGGAGCTCCCGGTGATTCACTCGACGACTATGGGCGCACGGCCGAGTCCACCACCATTGAGTGTTTCTACAAGTTCTGCAGGGCAGTGGTGGCAGCGTTTAGACCGCAGTACTTGCGAACACCCAATGCGGAAGACACTGCTCGGATCCTAGCATAGAATGAAGCAAGAGGATTTCCTGGAATGCTTGGAAGCATCGACTGCATGCATTGGAAATGGAAGAACTGTCCATTTGCTTGGCAGGGGTTGTACAAAGGCGCCAAAAGAGGTTGCAGTGTGGTACTTGAGGCAGTGGCCACACATGACCTCTGGATTTGGCACTCTTTCTTTGGGATGCCAAGAACTCACAATGACATCAACGTCATGCAGTGCTCCCCAGTCTTTGCCAAGTTTGTTGAAGGTCCTCCAGTGAACTTCGAGGTCAATGGGCGGCAGTACTACAAAGGGGTACTATCTAGCGGATGGCATCTATCCGAGATGGTTGACATTTGTGAAGACCATCTCAAACCCTGTGCCAGGAGGAAAGAACGCCTGGTTTGCGAAGGTTCAGGAGGCTTGCAGGAAGGATGTCGAGCGGGCATTTGGTGTGCTCCAATCTCGATTTGTTGTTGTCCGGTTCCCTGCTCTGACCTGGTCGAAAGGTCAAATGTGGAAGATCATGACTGTTGTGTTATCTTGCACAACATGATCATTGAGAGCGAGTAGGAAGAGCGAGTGTTTGACACTGAACCATATTACAAGTAGGGTCCTCTTGCCCAAGTTGATCACCAGCTACCGGCAAACTGGACTGACTACCTCAATATGCGTCAGGAGATCCGAGACCCACGGGTGCATCAAGAACTGCAACACGATCTGGTGGAGCACCTATGGAGGCTCAAGGGCGAGGGCGGGAATGACGTGTGATGAAACTTGATTTTTTATTTGTTAAACTATATAATTTGTATTGAACTATTTGATTTATGTGATGAAACACACCGAAACACGCCAAACCATGTCGAACTATGTGACGAACTAATTGATTTTTATTTGTATGCGAAAATTCACGCTGAAACACGTCGAACCGCGCCGAATATGGGCCGATTCACGCAGATACCGGCCCGTTTTTGGACATAATTGGGCCGAACACTGGGCCGAAATCGGCGCCGGGGGCGACCTGGGAGGCAACGGCTGGGTGCCGAACTGCCTCCAGCGCCGAGTTTATCGCCGGCTCACCCCATGCCGCTCTTTTTCGGCGCCCTGGGGGGCCGAACGGCTGGAGATTCTCTTACCAACCGGTACTAAAGGGCTCCCCGCCCCCGATGCTGGTACGTGCCACATGGGGGCCCTTTAGCGGCGGTTCGTGCAGAACCGGTACTAAAGAGGGAACCTTTAGTCCCCACCCTTTAGTGCCGATTACAGAACCGGCACTAAAGGGCCTTACGAATCGGTGCTATAGCCCGATTCTGCACTAATGAGAGATGTGAGGCTGGCAGGTAGGACCTAGTCCACCTCAGCATGTCAACACATTGACTAGGACTAGTTTTGGCCACATTAGCCTGATAGACGTGTCACACCCGTCAGTAACACTATTAGACGCGGCTTATTTCCGAATTAATGCAATTTGTTACTCACATTGTAGAGTTGATGGTTTTTTGTGATTTTCGGCAAACGCAATGGTTTAGGAGTGTACCCTAACCACAAATGTAGTGGTTTTGAGCAATTTACTCGTTCAGCTTACAGGAACCAATTCAGAGATGTGTCTTTTTTTCTCTTTCTTTCAGAATTCACTCTTGTGTCTATCTAGCCAGTCCCTGTGCTGATGTAAGAAAAAAAGCCAGTCCTTGTGTTGGGCTAAGCTCCTTTCCTCTGCATTCAGTTAGGCTTCTTTTCTCTGTCTCCTCTTCTCTTCACCTTCAGCGCCTGCCCGGTGTGGCTGGTGTTACAGGCGCGTTTTAGGGCTATTTGGCGACCTGCGCAGCAGAAAACGATGAAACGCACAGCCGCTGGCGGCGGTATGAGTTCCCACTACGTGTATTCTGGGCTGGCCCATGTAAGGGCTGGGCGTCCCTCTTATTTTCGTTTTTCTTCTTTCTTTTTTTATTTTGTGTTTCATTTTCTTTCTATTTTTTTACTTTGTGAACTGTTTACAAATATCAAATCCAATTTTATTGCAGGATTTCTATTTGAAAAATGTTCTGAATTTTAAAAAATATCTGATATTTCATAAAATGTTCATAAATTGGAAAAAAAATGTTCAAGATTTCAAACAAATTCACGAATACAAAAACATGTCCGTGAAGACAAAAACTGTTCAAAAATTAGGAAAATATTTTTGAATCAATAAAATGTTTGTGAATTCGAAAATGTTCGTGAATTCATAAATAATGTTTGCAATGCCAAAAAATGTTCGTGATTTTGATTTTTTTTCATAATTTTAAAATTGTTCACGAATTTGAGACTCTTTTGTGAATTTAAAGAATGTTCATTAAATTCCAAAAAAATCATGAATTCAAAAATGTTTTCAATTTAAAAAAGTGTTCGCAAATTAAAAAAAAACATGAATTCATAATTTGTTTGTGAATTCACAAAATATTTATGATGCCAAAAAATGTTCGCGAATTTGAAACATGCTCGTGATTTTGAAAAAAGTGAATAACTGTATTTGTATTCTGAATCGCTTCTGATAAATTTGATAATTTTTTGGCCCAGAATTTTAAATTTAGTAGTAATGGCCTTTGCACTATCCACTTCATTGACAGAATGATGCGAAATGTTCTTGACAACCTGTTGAAAATCTGGGTGATCAAGCCAATAGTGCTCAAATATGAATAAGTTTCACTTGGGTATAGAACTGCCAATTTGTACATATGGAATATGATCAAAAGTGGTCTTGGCTAGGGAGATAGTGAAATTATTTGGGTACGAAAGGGTCAAAGCTTCTATGGGAAAATCCATTCCAAACGCGAAAGAAGAGAAATATCTTGCATATAGCTCCATCTATAATTTTTTTCTTTATAAGGAGCTCACTGAAGTGACTGGTGGCTTCACTAAAGTGCATCATATCTTGTGTGTCCCATCCTCCCTTCTTTGTTCCTATTTTCAGGATATCTAATGAAGTTAATGTCTGATTCAGTTCTGATCATCTGGCATTGTAATGCTTTGAAATCAATCAATGAAAATTTTTCTTGCTGACAAAGGCTATAAACGTTGGTTAATATCCACGAATCACCATTGTGGATTGAAGTAAATGAAACAGACAGGAAAAATTATTTTGGAATAAATGAATATATTATCATTCTAGACGATGAGCAATCCTCCCGAGTCCCCCACAGAGGGCAGATATTCAACTTATTAGTCTTCTAAGACAGAAGTTCTTTTAAGCATCTGTGATCAAAGAAATCTCTTTTTGTTTCTTGAAGATAAAGGACAGTGCATCCTATTTCCTCAATCTTGTTAGATAGTGCAACTCACTTTTTATCAGAATTAATACTTCTGATATTCAAATTTAGGATTTTGTCCCTATTCATGACAATATCTATAGCACACACAATAGACAATACGATACCCAGGTATATCCCAGGCACTGCAACCAACAGCAAAACTGAGCAACTGACCATAATGTAACTCTGTCCTGACATAACCCACACTACATCCGCGCAATAACCTCTAACATAATATTGTCCTGTCCGACACTACAGTTCATCCACTTAAACATAAGGTAAACATATGGTCTTAAGAGTATCACATCCATGATAACACAAAAGGCAGCTGAAACTAGCTGGACTTAAGCTCTATTATGAACTCTGAGCTCTTTGCTTCAGTGCTCCACTCTTCTGGCCTTACCCAAAACTCCTTTTACTACTTCTGTTTACTGAATCATGTGGCCAGCTTTCCTTCAGATGCGCATTTCCTGGAGAGAGAGTATAGTGAGATAGAAAGATGATGCAATGGACTGCAACCCAAACATAATTAGATTTGAGCTCATAACTCCTAAATTATTACAGGGAATTTCTGATAGCCAGAATCTTTTGGCAAACAATTCTTGGGTTAAAACAATGCTTGATGCAGTAATTCACCAAGCCAAAAGTTGGTGCCAATGGTAGGAAATATGTTATACTTCACCTCTTGTAAAGGGATTTGTGAATGATATGGACATTCATCACATACTTCTTCTTGTTTCTTAGTAGCTCAAAGAGGCAGGCATCTCCGAGCGTCAAGTTGTTGCCACGCGCAAAATGCTTCCATCCTCTCATGAGCCTTTTGTTTTTGTTCTTCTTAACACGACAACGCACTTCCCACTTCTTGCCATGGCGCTGAAGGGTCAGCATTTGTTCCTTAAATGGAAGGTATACTTCAGCATATTTTCTTGATATATCCTGGTAAAGGGAGAAAGGGTCTTCTTTAGTAATGCTAATTCGAAACAAACAGCATGGTGTAGTGGACTATCTGCACGTCCATGCTACTATCATTATGTAGTCTAGTAGCAAAGTTCTTTAAATTTCAATCTGCTCCACCTAGAATTTTGTATCCCAATGACTCAAAAACAACTTCAATCAATATGCAGAATAAGCCAACAACACTTGGGTAAGACATACATTGTTTCTGTAAGTAAAATGCAAAGATAAACAGCCAGCTTGACCGGTCATTAACAATACAGTATCCATTCAAGAACAGAGATTTTAACTCACAAGGCTACGGGTTGCTCCGTAAATACTGCTCTTCCTTATGACACACCCATAAATGGGGATTTCGGAATTAATAGCTCTGAGTTTTTCTTTAAGTTGCTTCTTCTGCACCTCATTTAGATTCAAGAGGGTGCCATTTGCGAGGATACAACCTGGCAGGGAATGATCATCTTCTGAAGATGAAATACCTCCTAAACAAAGAAAATAAAAGTCATATATGAAGTTCTATGGGGCATAATATATGGCAGGTTTGACATTGTGAATCATAACCTGCTGAATCTGAAGCAGAGCTCGACGAGCTGACATTGATGATATCATTCCCCTGCCTTGAGGTATCCTTGCTTGGCCTAATTTGTCTTCCACTATGTGGAAATTTCATGGGAAGATCATGACAAGTGTTTACAAAGCCAGCAGTGTTTCCCCACCATTCTTTACCAGGAGCAGCATTTTTCTTGAGATTGCATGCCTGAATTTTCTCGCAACCGCTCGGCCCAAAGATCAAAACCTTCAGTTGAGAGTGGCCATCATACTTGAACACAAGAAAGTCCCCCGTTCTCAAGTCATGGGCACGAGCAAACGCCTTCCATCCCGAATCAAGGACTAGTTTCTCCAAATTCTTGGTAATCTGAACATCAAAAGTGTAACCATGGCGTGATGCTAGCTTAATAGTTCGTCCTGTTTGCCACCTGAAATGTTGGACAAACCTATCTGGTATGACCTGTAGGAAACAAGGTAAAGCACACTGTGTCAGGAGACACTTAAATTTTCTGCTATATTTCAGATGTGAAACAGAGTAACATGAGAGAACAGAGAGTTGCCCAGATCTGACCGAATTAAGTAATGCAGTTTCGCTCCTAGAAGTTCCCTTTTTGTTTCCATAGAAAGGTACTCCCTCGGTCCCATAATATAAGAACATTTTTGACACTAGTGTAGTGTCAAAAACGTTCTTATATTATGGGACAGAGGGAGTAGAACATAATCCAGCTGAAAATAAATTACCCTAGGAGGCTAGAACAGAGCTGAACTGAAAATAGCTTACCATTTTCTCATGGAAGTCGCCAATCATAACCTTGAAGAAATGCTTATCTTGCTCGTCTGGGTGGTTCCAGTAGCGATGTTCATCCAGCTCCTTGCGTTTCTTCCATGGCTTGCTCATCTCCTAACCACGGAATGGATCTACAACAAAAACGAATCGTGCCTAAATATTTTAGCTAAAAATGTACCAACTCAAAGTTGAAGAAAACATGTCGGAAAAAAGAGGAAATTGGAGCTAACAGGGAGAAGGTAAAACAAAGAGCTCCTCTATTTTATAGGGCTTGCAGTATTTCAGAGGGAGGGAGAGAAGAGTTGAATCATACCAGTGATTATCGGAGATTCAGAGAGAGAGAGAGAGAGAGGGAGGGAGGGAGACTGGAGAACGCTCCAAAGAGTGGAGAAAGCCAAACGTCAGAGACTAGGCAAGTAGACGATCCAGCGCCTCTCTGACTTCTAGATGCCCACTAGTAGGTGTGCCTGTCGTTTCAAAAAAAAAAGTAGGTGTGCCTGTAAGAGGCGACAAGACTTGACAAGGGATGCGTTGGGGAGAGTGCATGAGGGGGTGACCGGATGCGGTTGCGTGTGAGTATCCTTTTACAATGAGCATTGCTATGCAGCCGATGCTTTCAGACGATACTCAGACGACGTTGCCCATCAGGCCGTTTGTTAATTAGATTCATGTCAATCTCACGGTGTAGAGTCTGCGTCGGCTGCACATCGGCCATACCATGTCGTGTGTACATCAATTTCGTTTACAATTCAGAAATTTTGTGATAAATATTTGAATATTTTAAAATAATAAATGAACATGTTTTTAGGTTGCGTAGCAAGTTATTTCATTTGTAAGTACTCCCTCTGTTTTTATTTACTCTGCATATTAGAGTTGACTGAAGTCAAACTTTGTAAAGTTTGATCAAATATATATAAAATAATATAAATATTTACCATAAAAAGTTTATATGATGTGAAAGTACATTCAACAATGAATCTAATGGTATTGTATATGTTAATATTTTTGTCTATAAATTTTGTCAAAGTTTGAAGAGCTTGACTTTGACCAAAGTTAATATGCGGAGTAAATAAAAACTGAGGGAGTACAATATACATTTATAACACGCGAATATTTAAAAGTTATTTTTATTTCTGGGATTATAATTTAGATACTCTCTACAAATTTATATAAAAAGCCAACGAGTGCAAAATGCGCCGCACAGACTGCATGTTCATTTCAGCTCGCGCCTTTGTTCTAATATATTAAGAGGTAATTATTCATTTTAGACATCAACGTGTGTAGGTGGCCGTGGGTTTTGAAAGAGGAATGCTATACAGACTATAGTGTACGGATGATTTATGGACGGCGTGTCGCTGGAGTCTTTCATCATGTCCGCTATGTACATATGTACAGGATGACCATTGGATTGGCTGTCGTTCAAGAATTGTCCCGTGAATTGTCGTCCACGAAGGAGTTCCGGGTTTGAAACCTGGTGCCCACACTATTTCGTCCTAATTTTCGGTTTGTATTGACATGCGGAACACACCAAGAGTTGGCATTTCTCCGCAAATAAGACAAAGTAGTTTTTTTTGTAAAAACGCGTTGGGCCGAGCACCAACTATCACTCACATTGAAGCGGTCCAGTTCATTGGATTGACCTTGTTTGATAGCCGATTTTTGGTTGGATGCCTCTTTGGGTCTTTTTATGTTGGTATAGATATGTATAGAGTTGATCGCTAAAAAAATTGTGGGACAAAAGTAAACCAGCTAGAAATCAATTTGTCATGTGTTATTGGGCCGTGAATCTTGTTGGGACATACACACGATAAGACAAACTGAGGCACAACCATAACTAGTAGAATGCCCGTGGGTTGTTACGAGCTACAATGCATACAAATGATTAAGGTTGTCTCCAATGTCGAAGCTCACTTCTCCCTCACGCGTTCGGCCGTGTTCAAACGGG